GGCCTATGTCTTACCTTTCCATCCATATAAAATAGACTTAAATTTAAGATCTACAACTTCATATATGACCTAATTACCGAACAGTGTTCCAGTTTGGACTGTATCGGCATCTCTTTTCTAAGTTTGGCCATCTCTTTGTCCTTTCAATTTCAGTTCTTAAATTTATCAATCAATTCTTTTATTTATTTGATAATCCTACATTTAAAATGAACATTTACCATAAATTAAAGATATCTTATATTATTAGATATGTTATTATAAAACATGTTTTAGTTAAGGAGTTATTGATACTTCAAGTGCAAAGTGATGATATAAAACCTTGATAAAAATGTATTTTTAAGTACTAAACAAATATACTCTAAAAATATGGAGCAAAACCTAAAGCCAAAGTACCAAATTTGGTTAAGAGTTTAGTTTCTTTGGTAGTAGCTTTGGAATATTGGTTTGTGATTTGTTATGATTTAGATTATTAAAAAAAACATAAAAAAAAATGTTAACATTGTAGAAATTGTTTTTTATTGTGTTATTAAACCTGAAAACTAAATGATCGATAATAATGTGATCTAAATTTTAAAAAAATCAAGATGATAAAAAAAATTCTCTATAGAAAACAAACAAAAACCAGTTAATTCTATATAAACCAAAATGAAACACATCATGAAAACCAATTCTAAGTAAACTAAATGCTTAAAAAGATTTTACTATCGCATCTTTTAAAAAAAAATTAAGATAGAAATATATTGGATCAACCTAAATTTCATGACTTAATTTGTCAAACTTATGATTTAGGTCATGAAATCTAATGGGTTTAACTATTTATTTTTTATAATTTATTTTTTTACCTAATTACAAGATAAAATTTTTTATTTAAAAAAATCAAAGGATGAAACTGAAAGAAAACAAATTAAAGGAACAAAAAATCTACAAAATGAATTTTTTAATAAAAAAATATTAAAATGGTGATAAACCGAAATAACCTGAGTCATGTAATGTCAACTTGCTATATTCGTGATCCAAATCATGAGACTATAATAATCATGTAAAAGATCAAATTTGAGCTAATTAATTACAGAGAAAAAATCAAATAAACCAAATGGTTAAGAAAATTCAACCTAACATGTTCTAAAAAAATATATTCAAACAACAAAATATTATACCGATATTTACATTACATTTTGGATTAGCTCATTAAACTTATGACCGTGTTATGAGATCAACTAGGCTTAATTATTTTTTATTAAATTTATTTTTTTACCTAAATACAAAATAACACAATTTTAATTAAAAAAACTAAAAAAGAGCCTAGACACATTAGCCTTGTGGCCTAGACACTTGGACTTGCTGCCCTAGCATGCTTCGACATTCTAAAATAAGAATCCAAGCACGTGGGCTTTTCAGCCCACTCAGTATAACTAGACTAGTTTTATATTTTATTTATTTATTCAAAGGACAAACAATATATCATTTATCTCTGTTATTATTATTATTATTATTTTAAAATAAATGGATGACATGTTTACTATTTACAAAATCCAGCTACCCAAAGGTCCCTGAAAAACCAGGGCTTCAATTTTTTTGCTCAAAAACTTGTTTTTCAACTATTTCATTTTTATTTTTTTACCTAAACATATAAAAAAAACACTTTAATAAACCTATTCATGATCTAGACAACCCAAAGAACAACTAAAAAACCCAAAATCAACTTCATCCTGAACATATAAAAAAAACACTTTAATAAACCTATTCATGATCTATCTAGACAACCCAACAACTAAAAAACCCAAAATCAACTTCATCCTGAAAAATCAACTTGATCCTGAAAAATCTTATTGCAGGAAATTCCACCTACTCAAGTATGGAGGAAAAATAATACCTATGTGAAACTTTCTTTCATATCAAAATTGATTATTTTTCTATGTGAAATTGAAGTTAATAACAATTCTTTCTATACACTAGAATTTGATGACTTTCTAACTACTCTTATAAAAAATAGATTAAAATAAAATTTATTAAAATCAAAATCAATTATTTTTTATATTAAAGTTAGTATGACAACTCTTTCTTTGTCAAAATTTAAAGACTCTAAAAAATAAATAAAAAATAAAATAATTAAAATTTTATTAGAAATAAAATTATATTTCTACCATCATTTATTAGATAGTCATTTATTAGATAAGGAGAGTAAGTAAATTGAACTTTTCTTATAAAATTATAAGATTACATCTAATTTACCCACTTTTTCATTTTTGATTCTCCTATTTTTTAGTTCAAGAGAATTTTAAAAAAATATGAACTTTTTATATTTTTTTTTTTACTTTAAAATAATATTTTTTTATGTTTTTAAATTATTTTGATTGATTACTATCAAAATTATGTTTTTAAATTATTTTGATTGATTATTATCAAAATTAATTTTAAAAAAAAATATATATTATTTTTATGTTTTTTTAAATAAAAATACTTTAAAAAATAACCATCCACTGCTTTTGATCACTCTCTATGCTTTCGATCCGGAATACTGGATGCATCATTCCAGCATAATCAAACAGCATAATATTGATAAAAGCACAAGCAGTGAAACAAGAACACAAAAAAACATTGAGCTTCAGATTACAACTCCAGTACATAAATCCCTGCCAAGGGTCGCCGAATTGCCAAAATTTAAACTTGAAGAAGTCAGGAAATGATCTAAGATCCAATATTTTGGGATTTGTTAAGGATGACTCCTTCATATTTGACCTGGAACCATTTCATCGCGTCATCCTTTGTAACTCTCTGATGAATGCCAACACGTGACTTGCACCTGCGACGACGACCAACACGGTACCCAGGACGTTCCAAAACAACATAGAAGTCCATGCCGTAAATACCAGTGGAAGGGTCATACCTGAGAAGGGATGATAAACCATAATGCTGAGCATACACAATACAGTACCAGGTCAAGTTATTGAAAAAAAACCCTGTCCGGCTAACTTGACCACCTAGTAGAATCAAAAGGTTCATACCATTGCTAGATAAAAGGAACCGGGCATAACTGTGTTGCAGGACAGGTAGTTAGGTATCACCAAATTATCCTTCATGGATGCCTCCATGGACAGGAAAAATATAAATCAAAAACAAACTAGCACTAACAATTTGGCATAGCTTGAGCCTTGAGTTCTGCTGCAACTTAAATGAATGTTATCTTCAAGGTCAATATTCCATCTACAACATCCTCTATCTTCGTTCCAACATCAAAAAATTCCAAATGATGACCCAAGCATCAGGATAAGCACAATTTTTCCTTCAGTGTATATGCACAATAGAAGACCTCTTGAAAATCCATTTAAGTCTAGAATTGCCAAATCATATTTAAATACGAGTTACATTAAAAAAAAAAAAATCAGAAACCTAACCTAGAACTACGTCCACATTTTAAAAAGTTAATACACAAACAAAGCTAACCATGTTTCATGCGCCATGGTTGCAACATTAAATAAAACCCACTTCCGCAAACTAGAGGCACCATCTAAACCGCAGGTATTCTAGCCTAAACCTTCAAAATTGGCATAATGTTCAATCCTCATACGCAAATGGGTTACAAGTAATACTGATATAACTAAAAATAAGGGAGAGATAAAGGACATCCATTATGCAAATCTTTACAACAAGTAACCATAAGGGGAAAAGACTCACTTGATTCCAAGATCAATGTGCTCCTGGATGCCGAAACCAAAGCACCCAGTGTCACTGAAGTTCCTCCTCAAAAGCTCATACTCCTTCACCTTCAACCCACTCTCAAGCAACTGCATAGCCTTGTCTCCCCTCACAGTCACATAGCAAGCTATCTTCTCATTACGCCTAATCCCAAAAGATCTCACAGTATACCTAGCTGCTCGTTAAAAAACAGTAAAAAACAAGCCAACAACTAAGACAAAAGCACTTTAAGAAAAGAAAAGAAAAAGTAACAGAATGGCACGCACCTTTCGAGAACACCGGGGTTTGGCCACTGAGTTGTTCGAGCACCTTGGCGGCACGAGTGAGCCTGTCTCCGCTTTCACCGACGGAGATGTTGAGGACCAGCTTCTGGACCTTGATTTCTCTCATTGGGTTTGATAGCTTCTTCTCTGAAGCCTGCTTTTTTTTTTTAGAAAAAAGAAATAGTTAGAGAGATTAATTAACAACATCTGTAGAAAGAGATTTGATAGAGTAAAGAACTATAATAACAATACCATTGTGATGGTGTGTGAGCTTGGCTGGTTCGATGGAGGCAGAGGAGGAGGAGGAAAGGCTGTGGAACTTGTTTCTACAGGAAGATTAAATATAAGTGAGGGACACCCACTAGGGTTTTGTGCTATGATCTGCTTGCCTGCCTGGTGTAGGGTGCTCACTCAAGTGACCACATTACCCTTCCTTGGGACAAAATAGGAAAAACAAAATTCCGTTGCCGGGACTTGAACCCGGGTCTCTCGGGTGAGAGCCGAGTATCCTAACCAACTAGACTACAACGGATTACTCGAATACCTTCTCACAATAACCAATATGACTTAATATACGTGGCCCCTACATAAAAAATTAGAAGGTGAAAGTGCAGTGAATTATACTTTCATGGACATATATATATATGTGCATGCTGTCCGTTAAAATATTTTAAAAAAATCATTTAATTTCCTACAAACACACCTTTTGTTGATTTCTTTGAAGAAATCATGCCAACAAAAAAAAAAAGTGCAAAAAAGAAGAGAAAGTGACAAGAAAGGTGAATTTTTCTTTGATTTTTTTCTTAAAGATCTATTTGTGTTTAGGTTTTCCTATTTTATTTTGTTTTTCAAAGAGAAATTGGAAAAGAAAAGAGGGAGAAGAAGATGAACATGAGGAGAGAGAATGTGATTTGTGGTTATAGTTTATCGGATTTCTTTCATATATATATATATATATATATATATATATATATATATATATATATATAGAGAGAGAGAGAGAGAGAGCTCATAAGTATTACTAAACAAAATTTATATCGTTTAATAAAGCCATCAACATGTAGCTTGATGATGTATACTTATTTATACATAATAAGATCAACTCTAACATGACAAATGATGATGTTTGAAGTATAATTGTCATGAAGAGCCCAAAGTTTATTCTGTATGGCTTTATGTCCACACTCTTTAGTAGAATAAGACTTTAGGTAAATAAGTATTATCAAAAGTAGTTAAGAAAGTGGAAGAAGATTACTATACCAATTCAGCGGTCAGAAAAATCTAGTATATCACTAAGGCATATGCACGACAGGATTAGGCTACATTTTAGAAGAAGGAAGAGATAATAAGTGATGTTGTTGATACACAATACTTGTTTTAATTGCCTGTTTGAGAGTGTAGTTGCGATTGCTTTTTAAAATATTTTTCGTACCAAAATGCATCAAAATAATATATTTTTTATTTTTTAAAAGTTATTTTTGAGATCAATACATCTAAACAATTTAAAACATACAAAAAAAATTAGTAAAAATAAATAACTTTTTATGGAACGCAGTGTATAGGGAAAAGGTATTAATCATATAATCAAAAAAAGAAAATGAAACAAAGGAAGACATAATTAGGGTTAGACTTAAAGAAATATTCATTTAAGAAAATCACATTATGAAAAATACAAAGCTCGATAGCATTTCTATCATAATAAACAAATCTTTTATGCGAGTTACTATGATTAAGAAAAGCATATTGAATAGATCGAACAACAAGTTTGTAATGTTCAATGAGAGGTAAATGAACAAAAAAACACTAAAAAAACATGTATGAGATTATAATTAGGAGGAATACCAAACAAACAAGAATATAAAGAGTCAAAATACAATGTAGGAGAAGGTAAACAATTAAACAAATATACATTTATAGATAAAACATCTACCTAAAATATATAAAGAACATAAGATACAAGTATCAATGTGTGAACAATATCTAAAAAATAACAAATCTTACGCTCAACAACATCATTCTATTAAGGAGTGTAAGGACATGAACATCGAGAGAAAATGCTCTTTTGTTAGAGAAAAAAATTAAAAAGAATAAGAAATGTATTCTCTCTCAGAATCTAATTATAAGATTTTAATACATATATAAAAAAAAGTTTCTATATAAGCAACAATAGTTAAGAACATATCAGTTTTAAAACAAAGAAAATAAACCTATGTAAAATGACTATAATTATCAATAAATGTTATAAAATATCTTGAGCATGAGAAAGAACATGACTTACACCCTAAGCATCAGAAAGAATAATTTCAAAATATGAAGAAGCACGATTTCCTTGTAGATAAAAAGGTAAAGATTTTCTTTTACCAAGTTTATAAAAAGCAAAATCAAATGAGAACGAAGAAAACACATTAGCATTATTCAAATAACCACGTTTTATAAGTTGTGTCAGAATTACAAAGTTAGCATAACCTAGTTTTTTAGGTCAAAATTGGCTATTCTTATTAGCAATAGTAAAAAAAAAAACATTGAATAAGGAAAGGAAAAGACTAAAGAAGAAAAATAAATCTCACTTTAAACCCCCTCGCTATCTCCTGTTTCAATATTTATCCTATACATAATAACTAAAATTATCAAAATAAAAAGAATAATCTTTTCAACTAATTACCTAGCCAAAATGATATTGAAAATTAAATTAGGATATTCATAAATATTAGTAAAGAAAAACACTAACTACCAACTATTGTAATATGAAGAGCACTACCATCAATGATCAGAATATATTACTTACCATTATATTTATGACATCATATAAATTAATCAAACTATTAGTCATATAATTAGAAGCTACTAAATCAGTTAATCAATAAGAAATAAGAAAATGTTTCTTACTCTAGAGACCAAGCCAAAAGTAGAAATGAAAGAAACAATCATATATTGAACCTTCTTATGAGTAATATTGGAAGAAGAACCCATAACAACAAGTTATACAAAAGATGTAGGCACAAGAATGGATTGAAAACCAACATGAATAATAGAAATGAATAGATTAAAAGGATGAATATGAAAATCGTTGATAATATGAAATCTTTTCTTACAATAACTACAAAGTTTCCTACCATACTATTTTGTAATATGCTCTTATTTTCTTGCAACTAAAACACCATGACGACAATCTAGATGTCATTTGTTTTGAATAGTGTAGGCCATATTAATCACTTAGAACCACTAATATCTTAAGTAAGGCCAAACTATGAGGCAAGATTTCACCCAAGCAAACCTAAAAACATAGGATAGATGAACGATTGGTTAGCTTAGCTAATGACTTTTAAATTTAGATCATAGTTTTATTAAGAATTGATCATGTTGACTCTTATAAAGAACCACTTAAATTATTGCTAAAGCTTCTTTCAGAGCCTGAGAATTCACCAATCCATAATAATCATTTCATAAATTAATAAAGCTAAAATAAAATTTCTCAATAAAAAGGTTTCCTTTATGATAGTTTCTTATGTCTAATTCTAATTGAAATTTTTAGACAAAATTATCTTGATAATAAATTCACTAAAGGTAATATCATATCCTTTTATAGTGGTGAACCCATAAATATTATTAATCATATGAGGTGTAATAAAGCTAAAAAGTCACAAAATAATTTTGTTGCCTTCCCATGAACTAAGTTCCTTAATATCAATAGGAACTATAAAAAATCCATCCAAATGACATCATAACTCTTTTTTCATGAACATCTGAAAATGAAATTCCTGATAGGTATAATTTTTACCAGTAAGGTGTACAATAAAATTTTCTTTTGATATACTAAAAAAAAAACTAATAGAATAGAAAAAAATCACCATACCACTTGGAAACCAATATCTGGCTAAGAACTCTATATTTAAAAACTAAACCTCTAAACTAGATAACAACTTCTGCCAATACTTAGAAGAATACTAAAGACTTGCTTCTTAATACTACCTATAAAAAAACTAACAAATAAAAAATAAGAAACCAAAAAAATTCAGTCAAGCCAAAAAAATAATATGAAGAAAATTTAGGGCTTTGATACTATGTCAATAAGGTTTTTGGACTAAATACCCCTCCTTATAAGAATTATCTTCTTTATATATTGAATTATAGGCCTTTATAAGGTTGAAAATCAGTCATAAAATAATATTATATCATATAAGAGTAAAACCTACACATAAACCTACTAAATAAGGTAAGATATATCAAGCCATCAATTCTGCTAACAATATACGGGGGCATCATTATCATTTTGTTTATTTTGAAAATTAGCTTTGATCTAAGATGAAAAATGTAATATTAAAAAAATTGATTGCAAAATGAGAAAAAACCAAACCTCGAGATGCTCGGCATAATTTCCTTTTTATAAAAAAAAATTCTACCCTCTAAATTCTTTATTTTTTTTTGTTTATTTTAAATGAAGTTATTGCGATCTTAAATAAACATCTTGATATTTGACTATTATTTGATTTTTATAAGTGTTTATCTTTGTTAACATATCATTATATAAAAAATTATTTTTAAAACAAAATTTTTTAAGTCTGATGGAGTCTCTGATCAAGGTTGTACGTTTTGTAGGTATGCCACGAAGCCCAAGTTAACACAATATGCCATTTCAATATTTAAAAAAAAATCATTTTGAATTTTTTTAAATCAAACCATGTTTTTACCAATTATTCAGATTTCCTTTAAACCTATCAAGTCAACAAAATCACCTACAGTTAACTTTCATGCAAGTTAATTTTGAACTTAAGTTAGGCAATGAATAAGGTCAAAAGGTTTTAAAGTTGACCTATTAGGTTAAGTTTAATGGCAATAACAAATAGTTTTCTTTGTTTCTTTAATTTTATCTATCAATTTTTTTCTTTGAATCGTTTTTTTTATCAATTTTATTATTCAATATTTGATTAATTTTGAATTGATATTTATAATTTATTTTGGTTTGTTTTTATAAGGTTATTGAAGTTTTCTCAACTTTTTATTGATACTTAATTTTGTAAGTGTTTATTTTTGTTATTATATTATTAAATAAAAAATTATTAAAAAAAATTATTAAACACAATAAAATTCATGATCTTGATATAGGTTTGATAGAAGTTTGGATTAATTTAATATGTCGTTATTTTAATATTAAAAAAATATTATTTTTAAAATTTTTTAAAATCAAAATATCTTTTCTTTTTTATTCTGATCATCTGAATAACTTTTAAATCTATTAAGTTAATTGAATTATATCAAATTAATTTTTATATAATTTAATTTAAAAGTTGAACCATGTAAGAAGTATTTAATTTAATTATAATGTCAAAAAATTCCTTATAGACTAGATATTTTTTAAAAATTTAATAAAATGTTGACATAGCTGGCTGTGCAGCGCCGTGTCAGAAGTGTTGTTCTATTTGTTATGTTCATTGTATGACTAATGAGAGCCTGGAAATTATTCTTGAGGTCTGGGCAAGAATCTTGTCTCATGTGTTGTTGTTTCAGTTAGCGCTGCAGATGGCTGCCTGGGTCAATATGGTGTGTTTGATGGGCTTTTTTATTTTATTTTTTTCTTTTACTGGTGCAGGTTTCATATATGCGTTTCGGATTCTTGCAGGCTTTATAAATAAGTGGGCTGATTCATAATTATTTCTTTTATTATATACTAATTACCTTTTGATTAACTCCTGATAAATGCAGATGCAGGCCAGATAGTTCATTTTGTGACAGGTCCACGCCATGCTGGTAAAGAGGGATTGCTGGCGCTTCAACAGAGAATTGAAAACTAGTTGAATTCCAGTACAAGCTCCCTGCTGGAGCTCTGTTTGAAGTGATCATCGGAGAATGGAAGCTTGCAGGAGATGCAATGGCAATATTAGAGGCCATTTTCGAAGCTTTTGAACAGTATATGTCTGGAAAAATCTCCAGAGTTTACCCCAATGACTGGAGTACTTGGTATAAGTATCCCCATCTATCCATGCAAATTCGAAGGATCAAGAGTTTCCACAACCATGCAAAAGACCTGCCAGACCGAAGCTCCTGGTTAAAATTTAAGGAATCGCTGTGGCTTGGCACAAAAGTAGACTAGAGACATAAAGCGACAACCTACCAAGCTAATGATCAAAACTTCATGTTGTCAAGCAATGTTCAAGGCAGAGGTTCTAAGAAGGAACAAGCAAACTGATTTTTCATTAATAAACAAATTTGTATATGAATGCAACATCTGTGTATGCAGAGACCTAACTAATAACCATATGTTTGTGTAAAATAGCTTTAAGGCGAGAAGGATAGAAAGAAAACGACAGAATTAAAAAATAAAAACTAAAAAATAAAAAAACAGAAAAAAATAAAATAAAATAAAATCTAGCAATGTCACCCATCTGACTCAAGTCTTGTATGGTAAACTGTACAAATGTGAACAAAGCAGGAACAACCTCCACGATATAGAACTTTGTTGTCAAGGTACTGGGGAAATCCGAAGCCTGGAATGTTCAGACCAAACTTGAAGACCTATGTAGTCTCCACAAGAATGGTTAAGGAATCGCATTATCATCCACAAGGTGCAACTTATAGGAGTGGGCCTAAGAATGGCCATGGAAGAAATTCTACAGCATATCCACCCTAAGAAACCATGGGAGCACAAAAGCTATTACCAGGCATGCCATTAGGAAGTTACAGAAGGTTTGACCCCGCAAACATCCTCCATTTCTCTCAGATGAATGACCACCGCTACTAATAAACCTCCTCTCCAGAAACCGGTCATCCCCAATACCTGTAATATTCACTGCTGTCACTCCACATATTTCACAGATTCTGCATAAAGAAAACAAGAAAGACATCTGTGAGTGATGAATTCCCGGCAAGTTGATTCAAGGCAATTCCCAAATTGGCAACTTTAAATTCTACGATTAGTTCATAAACCAAGATCTGCTACAAATGATCCTAGAAATTTCAAACTTAAGTGTCTTATAATGAGAGACTCCGAGAGAGAAGTATAGGGAAATAATGGAAAAGGAAACAGCAAGCGTGATTTAGCAGAAACAGAAATTGAGGAAAATAGAAGGCTGGTGGTCTAGGATAGAGAAATGTTTTGATAGAGTTAGAAAATTAAGATGTTCTCAATAGTATACCAAAGAAAACTAATAATGCTACACCAACATGAGACTACTTCAAAGAAGACAAGGATTCCCCCTCCGGGACTCATGACACTGACACCAAGCGTCCATGAGATGGGTATCAATAATGCCACACCAACATTAGACTGACTCGAATAGGATTAAAATGGGTCCTCCCCAATTCATGATACTTGAATATTACTAATATGTTCTACACGACTTTCTTGCAAGCTAATCTTGAAAAAAGAATTGTTTGTTGAAAAACAACCAGGGTGCAAATAATAATAATAATAATAATAATAGAAGAATGAGAAAAGATCGAGGATCTACAATTAACAAAGTTAGATTATTTTCCAGTTGCACACAATCTCAGGAAAAAAACTTGATCGCAATGAAGGAGCATGCTGAGCTCGATGTACATGTATGCATGTAAGCAGAAAAGTCGTAGAAAAACTGACTTCCAAGCAAAAGAACATATACCTATTTCCTTTAAGTTTAAACCAAGCTTCGGCACAATTCACATGTGCAAAGCCAAGATCATCTTTACATCCACAACCAAGCTGAATTAGATCCATGGAGGTGGCTGTGGTAGTAATAGTTGTGACAGTAGCTTCAAGTAACCCCTCAGAAGTCAAGTGACAAATCCTACAAACTTTTTCTCCATCGCAGTTATCCTTAAAGCCGCCTCCTCCAGTTCCATCACCATCACCACACTTCATATCAACCACGCATGACGACTTCCCTCCTAGGTGCACCTCTACCTCGGACTCATCCACTGTTTCCTTACTGGCCCTCAGCTCATTTTCCTTGGCTTCCAATCTTTGGTTTCCTCCATTAATACCCACATTCTCTTCAGAATCTATCACAATCACAGTCTCTAGCACAAGCTCGCTAACTGGGCTACTCGAATACCGACTGCTTCCTTGCCCATCTCGATTCAATACCTCACCATCTCGTAGCACATGACGTATTTCCTGATTTATTACCCCACTTGTGAGCCCCAACACCTCATTTTGTGATCCCAAATCCTTATTTTCTCCATTAACACTTGAAGTCACCCCTGAATTCATCCCAATCACAGTCTCAACTACAGTTTCATTAACCCTATTACCTGAATTTGACAAGGTTCCTTCATCCGATAACTCCCCAATTCCTGTCCCATCACTAGCTCCCTGATTGGCCACTCTCTCAATTAATCCCAATCCCTCGATATTCGCATTCAAAACCTCAGTTTCCACCACAGTAGATACTTTCTCTCCTACATTTACAGCAGTTATAGCCTCTGACCCAACCCAACTATCCGAATTGCTCATATTTCCCCTCAAATCACCGACATTCTCTATCCTTCCCTGATAAACTTGGCCCAAATTCCTAGTAAATCCTTTGTTTCCATGTGTTTCTTGATCCATTACTCACAACAAAACAATCTCCACCTCTCCCAGAGAATTCCAACGAAAAAAACCAGCTATTATAAATAGACAAAATCAGGCATCAACACAAATACAACATCATCTCTATAGGTAGCAGATGATGAACAAAAGAAAACCAAAACCTCCAAAGAAACCAACAGATCTTCAGGAAAAAAAATAAAAACAACCAAAGAACTGAACAAGCTAAATATAACTGCAAGATGATAACTTTGTAAAGAAAACTGAAGCCCCGGATAGTTACCTACTCCATTCAACAACTTCAACCCTAATAAAACCTGCCGTCATGTGTCAACCAAAAAAAAAAACGTTTACTTTCCAAGTTCAACTATATAATTAAAATACTACAAAGGAGAGATCTATCTATGTATCTATCTTTATAACAACAATGTTGTCTCACAAATTCAACTTACGCCTAATGCTGTCCGTATAGACAGCAGATTGTGTGTCTGTAGGAGTGGGAGTGTATTTGTTGTGGGAGGTAAAGAGTTTTGATGGGAAAAGGAAAGTGCATGGAAGACGTGATGTAATGTAAAAGTATAATGATAAAGTGGTAATTACTCAACGAGGGATGAGATCTTCTGTGTGTGTGTGTGTGTGTGTGTTAAGCTGATTTTTAATCCCTTGTATGTTAGCTGATTTTTTTTACAATTTTTGGTTCATTCAATTTTATTAAAGTAATTAAATGAGTTTTTTCTAGAGTATTTTATTGTTTTTAATTTATCTTTTTATTTATATAAAAGAAAATAATTATATAATTTTTAATAAATTTTTCGCTATTTTGAGACTTTATTATGGATTTAAATTGCATGACAAGGAAATTCTATGATTTGATTATGAGTCCATTTATTTTTTTATTTTTAAAATATTTTTAAAAAAAAATAATTTTTTTATGTTTTTATATTTTTTTAATATATTGATATCAAAAATAAATTTTAAAAATAAAAAAATTATTTCAATACATTTGTAATAAAAAAACACTTTAAAAATTAATAATTATCATAATACTAAACAAGTTCCCGCTATCTTATGGATTAATTTAAAAAGAAAGCATTTATTATTTTATCTTAATTGCAAAACTATATCAGCTTTTCATCATTTGGAGATTGATAAATCTTTATCCAATCTATTTTTAATGAAATCTTTATTTGAGTTTGTTTTCCTTTATATATATATATATTTCTTAGTTGGACTTTTGTTCAATACTTACATAGTTTTAAACTAGATTATTACTACACCCTATGATCAATTTTATTTTTAACATAAAAAATTATTTAAAAATTGTTTATAGTTTTTTTTAGTGGAAAGAAATTTAAATCATATGAGTATTGATCTAATGTATCCTGATTAACTTTGAGGCTCGAAAAATAACTCAAAAAACTTGTTAAAATATAGTTTGATTTTTTTTTCAAAATAATATTTTTTTTAATATTAACATAACAATATATTGAATTGATTTGAATCAACCCAAGTAACATGTTAAATCTACAACTTGAATGATAAGATCATGATAATTTCATAGAAAATAAATTAAAATAAATTACGAAGCCTAATTTTTAATATATATATATATATATTAAGAAATGACCTAAAAAGAAAAGCTAAGTTAATATATCAAAAATACAACCTTAGTCATAAGATCAAAATAACCTCATGAAAATCAAATTGAAATAAATTAGAAATTTCAATCCTCAATTAATCCAATATTAAATGATGAAATTTAAAAATAAATCAATTAAAAAAAGAATATAGAAAACAACTTAAGTTAATCTATCAAACTTAAAACCCAGGTTATCAGACTGAAATAATCTTATATAAAAAAATAATAACATGATTTAACATGTGTTAACTTGTCGAATCCACAACTTTGGTCATGAAATTAAGATAACCTTATAAAAAGCAAAGCAAAGCAAATCAAATCAAATTATAAAGCTTAATTCTTAATCATTCATGTCAGACCTAACATTGAATGATAAAATTTATAAAAATTTTAATCAAAAAATAACACAAAAAATGAGCCAAGTCAACCTAGATTAACTCGTTAAGCACTTTTCTTAAGTCATAAAGCCGAGATAACCTAATAAAAAAAATTAAAATAAATCATAAAATCTAATTCTCAATCAAATACATTATTAAATGATGAAATTGGTAAAACAAAAAAGTCAATTAAAAAAAATAGCTAAGTCAATTGGGTTAATCAGACAAACTTGAAACATGGGTCATAAGACGAGAATAATCTAATGAAAAGAAAATTCAATGTTGAATGACCTGTGATATAAGTTATGAGAACGGGATAATATCTTAAAAATAAAATAAAAAATAACATGATTTAACCAGTGTTAAATATACCAAAACTCGTGACCATGATCATAAGACCAAGATATTATCATATAAAGCAAATCAAAAGAAATCATGAAATTCAATTTTCAACTAATCTAATGTTGAATGATGAAATTGAAAAAACAAACAAAACTTAAGTCAACTTTGATTAACCTGTTAAGTATTATTTCAGTGTTATGAAACCGAACTAACATGATAGAAAGTAAACAAAACAAATCATAAAGTTTATTTTTTAATCAACTCAAAATTAAAGGATGAAATTGAAAAAGAAATAATTTTAAAAAAATTCCTATATCAACCAGGTTAACTCATCAAACTTAATATCTGTACCATGAAAGTGTGATAATTCAATAAAAAAAACAAATATATTGAAAGATGAAATTAGAAAAAAAAAACATTGATTGAAAAAAAAACCCAAAGAAACAAAGGAAAAAAAGAAAGGCAAAACATTGTTCTAATAAACATAGTTTTGTAAAGAGAGGTATAGTAAAACCCCATCTCTTTTAGTTTATAGTTAACTAAATAAGTTATCTATATTTTGTCATGGGATTGACCAAACTTTTTCCAACACTAAAATAGATATTCAAGTGACAATAATCTAACACAACCCAAGTTAAATTAACTAAAATATAGCTTGAAAAATGATACCATAAGAACCCGTAAAAATAAAAACGAAAGGAAATTGTAAAGATCAAGGGCTATAATCTAATGTCAAAGATGAAAAAAAAACTTTAAAAAATATAATATAAAAAAAAAACTCGAGTCAGCTCAGGGTAATTTGACAAACCAACAATCTGTAATATGAGATCAAGAAAAAAAATTCAAAAAGATGACTAGTGAAAGAACCAAAGTTCAATAAAGAGCTAATCCAAGTTAACTTTACCAACCCACTTTTAGAATAACCATACAATAAGAAAAGTGGGGAAAAAATAACAACGCTCAAGGCAAAATAATTTAATACAAAATGATAAAATTAAAAAGAAAAAAATTATAAAAAATTAAAAAATCCAAGTCAAACCGGGTTAAGTTGACTCACTCACCACACACAACAGGAGATCGGGATAAAAAGAAAATTAGACTTCCAGAATAAGGGCCTAACAAAAAAAAACCCAAGTTAATTAAAAAAAACATTTCGAATGAAAATGCAATATCCTGACCAACTCGATCTCAAAATAACAAAACAAAAGGAAAAGAAAAAAAATAAGGAAAATGATTTTAAAAAAATGATGAAATTAAAAAAAAAATTCACAAAGAAATGAGAAAAAAAATCCAAGTCAACCCAGATTAACTACACTGACCTGCCACTCGCAACTTGAGATCGAGATTAAAAACAATAGACTACCAAAAAAAGACTTAACAAAAAGGACCGAAGTTAAATAAAAATTTATTGAGTAAGAAAATACAAGCTAACTTAGGTTAACTTGCATTCGAGATAACCTAACAAAAAAAAATAAAAAAAAAATCATATTGCTTGAGGATCAATAATTTAATACCAAAATATGAGATTGTTAAAAAAATATCAATTTCATAAATAAAAACTTAGGAAAAAAAACATGAGGCAACCATGGTTAACTTGACTAACCTATTATCTAGGATATGTGATCGTAATAACTCAATAAAAAGAAAAGCACAAAAAACAATGAAGCTAAAGGCTTAATAACCAAATGTTAAATAATGAATTTGAAAAAAAAATCAATTTTCAATAAAGGATTGCTGTTAGAAGACACTATAAAAAAATAATAAAGTAAAATATTCCACCATAAAATAATTTAAAACCCAAATTATACAAACCAAACATGGTATAAAAAATGAAAGAAAATAATTAGGGGATAAATTGAAAAAAAAACTAAAAAAAGGATAAAAAAATTATTGAAAGAATGAAGACCTGAACTAGATAAAAAAAAAACAAATGAAATTGAATGTTGAGGACAAAATTGATAAAAAAGATAAATAAAAAGAGGATAAGAATATAGAAATAAAAAGTATGATAAAAAAAAATAAATTAAAAAAATACAATAAAATCAAAAGGGAAGAAATTACAAATAAAAAAAAAGCATAATCAAGAAAAGTATAAAGCACAAAAATAGAGTAATTAAAAGTAGAGGGATCAACTCGGATAAAAAAATCAACTTGAATAAAATGCCTAATGATGAAATTGAAAAAATCAAGACTTCAAAAAGTATCAAAAACCAAATAAATTAAATAGTAATTGAAAGAAAGATGACCAAAATTAATAAGACTATAAACCAAAGGATACAATTGTTTTTTTTAATTCAAGTGTGTTTTTCTGGAAAAGAGAGAGGAAAAAAAAATAACCTCAACCACAACCTAACCAGATCTTCTACTGTGAGCTCTCCTTCACTTCACATCAAATGGACATGCCACATCCCCAGAAAGATAACAACATGTCACTTTTAATGTTGTGATAGAAACAAAACTTTGGCCATCACACTGTTCCTCATGCGCCATTTGAATGGTGTGGAGGCCATGACACGCTAAGATGTGAAACAAACATATCAATAAATTTTTTTAAATAATATTTAAAATTTAAAATGATTAAGTTGCTCTGTAAAACCTTAAAATAACAACAAATCAATCAAAAAAACCAAAATATCCTAAAAAATAACCTTTTTTTTTCAAATTGAAAGGTTAATTCCTTCATTTTAATGTTAAAAAAACAAAAGATGGAAAAGCCTTTTCCTTTTCCAAAACATGACCATAATTCTATTGTTCATTTAAAAAGAAAAAAAAAAACAAAAGAACCCCTCACCCAAAGATTTTTTTTGCTTTTGGGGGCAAAAGAAAGTCATTATACTTAAAAAAAAAAAAAAAAAACAAAAGAACCCCTCACCCAAAGATTTTTTTGCTTTTGGGGGCAAAAGAAAGTCATTATACTTAAAAAAAAAAAACATATTCAGGCCATTTTATCCCTAATTATTTTTACAATTACAAATATATATTATGAAAAAAGATAATTATTATTTAATTTAGTTTTCTGTTTTTGTAATTTTCTACCATACTGAAACATGAATTAGTAGGATTTTTTTTTTATTTACATGGGTGTTCGGGGCAGCTTACGCGCACCACAACTAATCTTACAGCTCACTAAATACCCTACAAACCCAGTAAGCATGGAAAGCACTGTAGAGGTGACAAGTGTGCATATGAAGACTCGAACTCAGGAGCAACGACTGTAGAGGTGACAAGTGTGCATATGAAAACTCGAACCCAGAAGCAACGGAAGGAGATAAGCCCCTTCCACTGCTAGACCAAGACCCTCTTTCATTATATATATATATATATATCAACAATTTTTTATATTTATATCAACAGTTACTCACATAAAAATAGTAAAAAGTATCTTAGACGTACAAAATTACATAAAATAAAATGCCTCAAATTGCTAAAGGTGTGGAAAAAGAGGACACTGAAACGTAAATGATATAATCTTTCATGTAGTTTGAATTTAGCAAAAATAAATGACAAAGATTGGAAACAACAGGAGACACGCAAAGAATTAATGTTATGTTTTGACTTCTGAGCGTGTGAATCCAAACGTAACGTTTTGAAGGGGCAAAGCGGGGAAGCTGCTGTCTCGAGCAATCCAAGAACCAAAAACTGAGGCCAGGGATTCTCAGGTGATGAAAAGCTTGACATCGTTTTCCATAGATGCTGTCCTGCTTACAGGAGTTGGTATCAGTATCACACTCCCTCCCTCCCAGGTTTCTTCCACGGATAGCATCGAAATATTCTTGACGTGCATGCCATTTGCCACCCTTTCTTTTGTTCCTTTCTTTTATTTTAATAAAGAACTGGATGCTGGAAACGAATCAAGAACAAAAGTCCTCTCTCATTTGCTACTGCTGTTTAAATAAATAAATCATTGAGTTAATGTTCACCTAGGGGAGGTATACTTGAGTTCTGGAAGTTACCACCAAATTAGCTTCTAACATTTTTTAAGGTTCTGGACCCTCTGTTGTCAGGGATCTGCGCGATTGAAGGACCAATCATTGCTTGAAAGTCCGAAGGTGAAACCATGGAGATAGAGGCGGGTATTAACCATCGACATGATTAAAGAAGAGTGCAGAACCAGGACAAAACTTGAGTGATACTAGGGGCGTTCGAGGTCATAATCTATATATATAATTACCATGTCTATTCCCTTTCAATGCTATGACTGGTGGCATATGGACCCAGGGCAATAGGGCATCATCACAAGTGCATATTCATTTCAGCATGTGAAGTCCCAGCTGAACCCCTCCCTGCTTGTGCACGAAGATGACTAGATTCCCTTCACCATAAGCAAAGGACAGTAGGGCCTACTGATAAGTGCCAGCCAGGTTGTGCACGTAGCAGCCTTCAATTACGAGGACAAGCCATTGGCCTAGCAGCAAATTGTAGACATGGCATGTGCATTGACAGCTAGTCATTAGTCGAGTCGTCTGGTGGGGTTTAAAAGGAGGGCGTGAGTCCTTGGCAAGGATCATCAGCAGAGTGGATATCACTTTATTTTGTCATTTCTAGCCTAACCATGCAATCGGAAGTTGTATTTCCATGCCATGCATGCGCATGTAAGCTGGAGGCGTGCTCTTCATGAAAATTAATGGCTCTGAAGACAATTTGGAGTGTAGTGTTTTAAGTTTCTGTCCATGATAATCACTAGGTGCAGTATTTCCATAATAGGATAAACATAAGACTTCCACATCTTCAGTAGAGAATCAAGTACGAGGATGAACCCACCTGTGTTTAAACTTTCGAATTGGACATGAGCATGTCCTACCATGCAAAACGAAACATTTCAGTAGAAGGAAGCGCGTATATCTCAGTTACAAGGAAGTGCTCAGTTTGTGACAGGTTCTGCTAATTGTTTTCAACTGAGGGGCCTATCAACGACCCAGGTTAATCTCAATATCCACAAACCAAATTTAAGAACATTTTGGTTCCCTTCTGATCACCCCAATCCCCACTGCAAAATGCAGAGAATAAAACATATTTTTATATGTAAAATAGCGTCCTACTAAATGCAAAACTCATTTACAGTTGAATTCAGAAAGGGAAATACTAATTCATACTAAACGAAAAAAATAATTTGCACTGAGTCAGGAAAGGAAAACTATACTCGGTCACCGAGGTCCTGAAAGCTCCATTGCTTCAATGATGAAAGAAGGTTCCTCATGAACATCTCTATCATGCCTCGAGAAACTGTATGCCCTTACCTCACCAATATTTGGTGCTCCTTGTGATTCTTCCATAGCTGACTGCCCAACAAGACCTTCCAGGACCTTCAAGACTTCTGACATCTTTGGCCGAAGGCTAGGATGTGACTGAGTACACTTCAGAGCCAGCTCCACAGCTTTTTCCAGCTCCAACGCATCAAAACATCCCTTCAGATCCCTATCCACTAGCACTTCCAACCTCTTCTCCTCGTTCAAAGTTCTAACCTGTATAATTCAACCATCATTTACAAATTTATATTTAATGCAGCACATTACGAGAACATATGGTGGATTATAATTCAGTAATGTGGTTATCTTGAAATAGCAGTTAAGATGAAAATAATTTATAGTTTCCAGTCACCAGAAATTAATCATATAGCTAGACGATGTATGTTACATGTAATTTTTACAAGTGACCTAAATCAGTTGATAGCCAAGGTAATCCTCCATCCTTGAGAATTTATTATGCGGGTATAAAAGACACAATCCTTAACATGAAGCTAGCAATTAAAGGCAAAGCAGCCCAAAACAAGCGAGTAGTATAATTTCCAGTAAATGCCTAGAGAATGAGGCATGACTAGATATCTCTACACAATTTGCACATTTGATTTTAGAATATTCAGGTTTTTGGCAATCATTCTTTGATTTCAATTTCAGACACCTTCTACAGTTTGATCCTACCTATCACAGCAATCAAACATTTGAGATATGGATATTATGATCACAGCCACAATCATAGATTAACTGGAATACAGGCTCCAGTTACCTCAATACACAAATGGAAGAGCGAGATGCTTGTAAATTGTACATTCAGTGATAGAGTACAATGCAGAGAAATAACTTACCCAGTCAAGAATCATTCTCTTCTGAACTTGACCATTTCCAGCATCTAATGCCTTTTGCCCTGTTATGAGTTCCAGAAGTAGTATGCCAAATCCAAAAACATCAGTTTTCTCAGATGATTGCCCGGTTGAAAGATACTCAGGTGCAATGTGTCCTACAGTCCCCCGCACTGCAGTAGTGACATGTGAATCTCTAAGATCCAACAACTTAGCAAGACCGAAATCCCCAACTACAGCTTCAAAACCTTCATCAAGCAAAATGTTTGCAGCTTTAACATCCCTGTGAATTATCTTTGGATTGCATTGTTCATGCAAGTATAGAAGTCCGCGAGCAGCCCCAAGGGCAATGTGTATCCGTCTGTTCCAATCCAAAGATGGTTTTTCTCGACAAGTCTCTGCAAAGGAAAAGTAACAGAATCAAATTCTCCACCTCTTATTGGTTTCATTTTGGTTGAAGTAACAAAGAGAAATATAAAAACAGGTTGAACAACAACAGTGGATGAGAGCTTGTTTATTGACCAATCACCAACACTATTCAACATTCAATATAAAGATGCAGCCACAAAATTTACTAAAATCTTGTAGAAATGGTATTAAAAAAAGCTTAGAATTGTCAAATAACTATCTCAACCCAATAGCTTTAGCTATTAAGCAAGGGCCAAGATATAATTTATAATATTTTCTAACACACTCCCTTAAGTGAAAGTTCTTTAAACTTGAAACTTGTTTAGGCTCACATTACCATATACTTATTTTTTATTAAATAAATAGGGATGATGAAATTCGAACTCATGACCTCTTCGTTATCAAGGCTTTGATATCATGTCAAAAAACCATCTCAACCTAAAAACTTAAGCTATTAAGTGAGGTCCCAAGATATGATTTATGTTATTATCTAACAAGAATATAACTAGAGAAAGACTTGGCATGATTTTCTAGTTGAAGAACCAAAACATGAGCATTTGAGGTCATGATCACAATCTGAGATACATTGGATGAGGGTTAAGAAGATCATTTTGAGCTGCAAAAAAGAAAGAAAACAGTTTCTTCAAAGAACTTTTGTGAAGCATGGACTTAAATGCTAAATTTTCTCCAACTGTTTATAGCTGTAAATTTTAATGAGAAACTACCTTCATTTCCATTAGAACCAGAGGATAATATAAATCTTACTTGCCCAAATGAATTAATAGTAGATGAACAAGTAAAATGAGACGAACCTCTCAGGCGGTCAGCAACACTGCCATTTGGCATATAAGGATAAACAAGCAACCTCTCATCAGGTGTCATACAGAATCCATATAGATTTAAGAGGTTTCGATGTAGAGCCAAGCCAATCATTTCCACTTCAGTTTGAAACTGCACTTCTCCAGTAAAATTTGGATCCTTCAGCCTTTTAACTGCAATGAAGGTTTTATTTGGGAGACATCCTTTGTAAACCACACCATATCCACCTTGCCCTAAGATATTTTTTGGACTAAAGTTGCTTGTAGCAATTTGTAGTTCACGGAACGAAAACCTCTTCAAATGACCAATATCAAATTCATAATCTTGCTGCACTGCAAAATGCAATGATCATAATTAATCACATTGCTTTTCATGATATATTTTCATTTAGGAAATTTACCAAAGCATCTCAGTTTGGAAGTACCGTATGATGTGAAGAGTAGACGAGATCTATAACAATGCACCCAACAGACAAGCAGCATTACAGAAATCACAAAGGTGGAGCTGATACCTATGGCAACGGAGAGCACCCACCAATGATGACTGCTGGCTTGCTCAGATGAAACTGTCTCTGCAAGCAGGACATCAAGAATTTGTAGTCACATTTTTATAGTCCATCTCTTTAACAGAACAATTTAACTGGTTAGAGTGCATTACTGTTAACTGGCTTCAAGACACCCATGCAATTTTGTGCATGTGAGGAAGTGCAAAGATAGCTATTCCCTGTAATACTGCAATAAACATGCACAATATCAAATGGCTGTAAACAGAAGGTAAAAATTATCGAGACTCAAAGTTATCAACTCCCATCCAACCACTGCAAGCAGATATTGAATTGTTTTTCCTTCCACAAGAAGTTTCTAACACTGTGATGAAAAGGAAACAGCAGTAGAAAATGAAACCAGCATTTCAAACAATTTACTTGCCAATTGCAAGCATTTAGCAAGCTCAACTATATCAGATAATAAATCTTAGTCTCTGCAAAGATCCATTATACTGGATCAATGCTAGCCCAAAACCACCTAAGGTTTCTAAATGAGCAATAAATGCACAATTTTCAGTCAAAACTTCTAAAAAAACTCACAGGCAAAAAATGAGGCATTTAAGAATCAACAAAATAACATTTTTCCATAAATACAGTTCTAAGCAAGATCTCACCTGTAACCTTTAGCTAATATTTTTGGAGTTGGGCCACTAAGATTATTAAATGATAAATCCCTGCCAAGAATTTGGAAGAAAAGTTAGATTTACATAAACTATATAAGGAAATATAGCTGACAAGTGCGGACCACATACAAGAATGAAAGTCCAGTAAGATTGGCCACCAGCTTTGGAATCTGTCCAGATAAATTATTTTTGCTGAGTCGCCTGGAAAAGTTTGCATGTTAAACTTTTGCATAACACACAAGAACTACCAGAAGAAACATGACAGGAAACCAACAGGAATATAAATTGCATGTGTTGAGGTCAAATAAAACTCACAAGTAACTTAGATGGGTCAGAAAGCCCAAAGAGCTCGGAATACCACCACCGAACTGGTTACCTGAGAGGTCAAGCGTTTGAAGCTCTGAAAGCTTTCCTATCTCTTCTGGAATGGGACCAGATAAATGATTGTTCTGCAATAGCCTGCAAGTACAGATCATGAACATTAGAAAGCTAATGCAAAATACAATATCAAGACTCCAATCGGTTGCATTTATGTCAAGTAACCGGAACAAAAAAGAACATTCTGGATAAACTATCAACGAACTCAAACCAATAGCATCGTTTTACAATACCAAGGCTCATAAATTATTACAAACAGAAAAGATTTTCAAATTTCCTATTTGGATTTCCTACCTGACATATTGAGTCAGACCAGTTAATAATAATCGTCATAACAGCAATTTTTTAATAGCCATAAGACTATCCAATTATTAGCTTATACCCAGAAACAAACAATTAATAGCAGAAACATCCATGTACCAATCGAGTGAAGAACTCTGAGAAAGAAAGATGTAGCAGCTCACATTGTCCTTAGGTGAATCAAATTCCCAATGCCGGGAGAAAGAGTTCCTGATAATCCCACACTAGCCATTTCACTAGCAACAACAATATCCAGAATAAAAATATTAAAAATATGAAAATTTTATTACTAAACCAAAAAAAAAAAAAGAGGTTCCACACTTACAGGGAGATGACGAAGCCTTCAATAGAGCAACTAATCATATTCCAAGTGCAAGGATCAACAGAGTTCAAATCCCAACCATTCATTGCACCTGTCTCATCTCTCATTTCTCTCTTCACAGCCATCAATGCTGCCACTGAATTCAGAAACCCAAAAAGTAAAAAAAAAAGAAAGATAGAAATGAAACACAAACTAATAGTAACAAACTTACATGGAAGTGCAATGCTGGATCATTTTGAATTGAAAATGGAGTTCGAAGGTCATACCTTCATAGTTAACACCTTTTGGAGAAAGAAGAGCATCGGTTGCTTGAGTTAAACGCACCCAAAATATTACTAAAACGGCACGGAACAAAATGGCCGCCATGTTACTTTCTGTCCCGATGAGGAAGCCAAACCAACACTCGCCCTACTTTTTCTGACAGGAGTAAAGGAAAGGGGCCGATAAAAGGGCTAATTGGATTCGGGTGTTGTCTTCATGTCCTGGAGTCAAACGCCTACCTGCTCGCTGCTTACTACCCCTCTATATTTTATTTAATCTTTCTAATTTCTACACGTAAGAAGGGAAATGTTAAATATATAATACAATCAAAAAAGAAACGTGATTTCTTTTATCGGCGTGATGGAAGATCGTGAAAGACGAGAGGAATGGCTCCGATATGGTTTGGACAACCTCGAGATTCGGACAAAACAGGGGCGCTACCCTTGTCTCCCTCCTTTCCCTCTTATACAAGAGCTAATCATTAAATTGATTAATCTACATGAACTGTCCTTCGATATTTTTATTTGTTAATAAGAATAAATATATAATAACTCATGGCCGTTGAGACCTTTACTTCACCCATTAAATTGTTTCTACGACTTAGGTTAATCTACACCAACTGTCCTTTATATATATATATATATATTATTTGTTTTTGAGTTTGTGACCTAGGAGCCCTCGCTCTGGCGCGAAAATACATGTACTTGGGATTATGTCGGGGGCAAATTTGAAACGCCATCGTTTCGTAACAAAGGATATATGCTAGCTATCTAACTCACGTTCTGTCGCATGTTGTAAGTTTTTTTAAAAAACAATATGTATACAGGTTGTTTTAATATATTTTTTATATAAAAAATTAAAATATAAATTCAAAAATCTATACAAGAATTAAAAAAATAAAAAATAAATGTAAATCAAAATATTCAATTCAAAAAAATAAAACACTTGTCTAATTTTATATATATATATATATATATATATAAATGAATCTTAAAAACATCCTTATAATAACTTGTATGAGCAAAGAAAAAGATTTTAGGCAACATTTTAAAGTGGAGATATGTATGTGTCAGGACATCAATATAGTAATAAAAGAATGGAAAAGAGGAGTCTAAGGAAGTTAAAAGAAGAAATGGGGAATCATGACAAGGAAAACAACAATATTGAATTAAAGGATATGAAATATTTTATCAATTTTTGTTATATCTATTGCAGCTACCGAAGCAGCTATTGAGTCAGCTATAATTTTATTAATTTATCATAATAGAAAATCAAGCTATATCAATCAATTAATTTTTTAAAATAAGTAGTATTAATTATATAAAATATTTATATTCATTAATTTAATAAGTTTGGGTTATCATTAAATGCCTAATTTGAGAGTTATGCTTATTATACAATTAGTATTGGAGGTAGTTGTAGAGAAAAAGATTAATTAATGATAGAAATACTTATAATTTCATCAGTGAATATCTAATTAAATGATAGGAAGTTATTAGAAAGATCATTTGGCAAATGAAAATGTCATGTTATGTGATGCATAAAATCATTGATTCACTTGGTTCATGCATAGTTATGAATTCAATGTATATTTAAGGATACTCAAACTAGGCAAACATGATGTAGTAGTGAGAAAACAGTGATAAAAAGTATATTTTATTTTATTTTATTAAGATAAAGTTGTTTTTCAGAAAGAAAGACAAAATAATAAAATTGAAGAGCATTACTAAAAAAAGAGGATTACAAATGAAAAACAATAGGAAAAGTATAAAAACATCAAGGATAACTTGTTTAGATTTGTTAGACAATCTTTTTTCTTAGAAGTAACTGGATAATCAAGGAAATCAATAGAAACTATAGAAATTAAGACATTGTAAGAGGAATTTAAAGTAGTATTTAACGATCAAAAAACTTTGTCCTTTCTTATGAAGTTTGATTATAAGATTCTTTTAAAAGCTAAGATCACAACCTATGAACATCAAACCTTACAAAATTTTCTTTATAGACAAAAAAAGAGAGAAATTAGTGCAAGCGATGCTCATAAATAAAATAATTCAACACAATATCAATATATTGGCTTTACTAGTGTTGTTTGTGAAGAAGAAAGACAATACATAGAAATCTTATATAGACTATAGGTAACTCAATGACTTAACTATCAAGAACAAGGTTTTAATCTCTCACATTAATGATCTTTTGGATGAATTGCATAGTTTCAGGTTCTTCTTCAAACTACATTTAAGATATAGATATCATCAAGTAAGAATGAATAAAGAAGATATTGAGAAGACTACATTTAGAACTCTTCAACGGCATTACAAGTTCAGAGTAATGCCATTTGGGATGATAAATGCTTTTACTACTTTTCAAGCACTGATGAATAACATATTAAAACCATTTTTTAGAAAGTTTATCTTGGTATTTTTCAATGACATATTGATTTATAGATACTTATGAATTACATGTTAATCATTTAAGACATGTATTAGAAATTTTAAGTGCTAACAAATTATATGAAAAGAAGTCCAAATATGCAAGTGAAAATTAGATGGAATATTTGAGGCATATGATTTTTAGTAGAAAGAGTTGTTGCAACTTATAGTAAAAAGATAAAATTAGTGAAGGATTTGATTATACCACATTCCTTAAAAGAGCATAGAGGATTCCTAGGTCTTGTTAGCTACTATAAGAAGTTTATCTAACAATTTGAAATTATTAAAAGGCCATTAACAAATCTGCTAACGAAAAATTATTTTGGATTGAGTGAAAAGGCTCAAGAAGCTTTTAAGTAACTTAAAAAAGCACTCTATGAAGCTCTAATGTTTTAACTTACTTCAATAAGATTTGTATCTTAAACATTAATGCCTGTGATTTTAGACTAGGAGTAGTGCTCAGCCAGAAGAGTATGCCTTTTAACTTTCTTTAATAAGGCATTGAATCCTAAGCATATAGATATATTCTTCTATGAAAAAAAATACTTTAAAATATTAATGGTAATGGAGAAATGAAGAAATTATCTAGAACAAGAGAAATTCATCAAAACCTGAAGTATCTTGTGGATTAAAAAATTCATATTTCATAATTAAAAAAAGGTATAGGTTGTTAAATTAAGATATTAGATTTTATACATGAAGTGCAAGGAAAATATTTTTACGGATGCTTTTTCTAGAAGAAGCTATAATGAAGTTCATATTAAAAAAAGTTAGTAATTTTGGAGCAATAATCGACGGTTTGCTAGTTTGATACGAGGAGATCTATAAGGTATATGAAGGTGTTCCATTGTTGTATAAGATCATGGTTAGTAAAATAACTAATGCTAATAAATGGTGTAAGTATATTTATAAAGATGGAGTTTTAAGGTATAAAAGAATAATAGTTATAGAACAAAAGGGAGAATTAAAAGAAAAACTAGTTAAAGCCATATATGATTCCTATATGAGTGGACATGCTAGAATTCATAATTCATATAAAAGACTAGAGGCTAATTTTTACTAGCTTACTATGAAAAAGATGGTGAAATAATTTATAGAGGAATATAATGTGTGGAAACAAGCCAAGATTAAAAAGGTAGTTTATTCGAAGTGATTTCAACCATAGTTAATTCCTAATGGTACATGGAAAACTATAAACATGGACTTTGTAAAAGGATTGTCCAAGTTTGAAGGAAAAAATACTATTATGGTAAAAGTTAAAAGTTTACTAAGTATGGGCATTTTATAGCTTTAACTTATCCATCCACATCATAGGATATGACTCAATTATTCCGAGACAAATTTCTCACTAGTCACATCATAGGATATGACTCAATTATTCCTAGACTATTTATATAAGTTTCATAGATTGTTTGCAATAATTGTTACTGATAGAGACAAATTTCTCACTAATATATTCTAGAAAAAACTATTTAAAAAGCTAGGATTTCAATTATTAATAAGCACATCGTATCACCCTTAAACATATGAGTAATATAAGAAGGTGTATCAATTCTTAGAAACCTATCTTAGGTGTATGACTTTGCATAATCTTAAGAGATGGCATTTTTAGGCATTAATGGTATAATAGTAGTTGTCATTCAACTATAGAAATGAGTCCTTTCCAAACTTTATATGGTTACTCTATTCTAAATAGAGAAATGGTCAATTAGGAATCTACCTCAGTTGCTATTGTGGAATAGTTAATAAAATGACAAGTTAACATGGCTAAAATGTTAAAAGTGCAGTTGGGAATAACAAAGCACATGATAAAATAGAAGATTGATAAAGGTAGGATTGAAAGAGAGTTCATGTAAGGTAATTAGGTGTTTTTAAAGTTATAACCACACAAGTAAGGTAATGTCACTTTAAGGAACAACTTCAAACTCATTCCAGTACTACAAGCCTTATCAAATCATTAAAAAAATAAGAATAATAGCCTACAAACTAAAATTGCTTTAGGGAAGCTTAATACATCAAATATTTTATGTCTCTCTACTTAATAAAAAAAATGAGAGAGAAAGGTAGTGTTTATCAGATTACTAGTAATTGATGAAGGTGGAAGGTTTTTCTTTTGTAGTATTGGATAGAAAGATAATGAAATAAGAAAACAAAGCAATAATAGTTGATATGATTTAATGGTCAAACTTATTTCTAAAAGATGTAATGTAAAAACATTTGAAAGAAATTAATGTCCAAATCCCTGAGTTCAATATAAATTCTCGAGGACAAGAATCAATTCACATGGATAATATTGTTACAATTTTAACATGAAGCATAAAGAAAACATGTTGAATAAAAAAGACAATAGGTTATCATTCCAGAAAGTGAAATAAACATAACTAGAATTCTAATTACCACGGGAATAATATGTTAGTAGTTAATTAGAAATAGTGAGGAGTTAGTTACAATGAATAAATGGCAAGAATGTTAGTTAGCTAATCAATAATGGTGTATATATACCATTTTTAATCTCATGATTTTTAAGTAATAACATAAAAACTCATTTCCAGTTTATTTTCTCTTATTTTTCTAATACTTCTTTTTTCTTCGGTTTTCTTTATTAACTTTTTAAGTGAAGCCTTAACATTAACTATAAACTAAAAGGCATAGAGTTTTTCCTATAAATAATCATTGTTGACATATACATAACAACATACATAACATTGTGGACTTACTATTTATTTTTTAATAATTCATTTTGGTTCTTAAAGTTTTATTTTATACAATTTAATCTTAATTAAATGTCAATTGCTTCTGAATTCTTAGTCAATAGTGAAATTGAAATAAGAGGGACCAAAATAAAAAAAATTTCAAACATGGGTGACGTGCCAAAGATTAAATGAAAAATACATTTAGGTTCCCAATCTTTAAAAATAATGCAATTTATACAATTTAGATCCCTTTAAATTTTAAAAAATCAATTTTGGTACACAAGTTTATTTTTAATATATTTAAGTCCCTAGTTAGAGAGATGAGAGAGAGAAGAGTTGCCA